GGGGGGTGGGGGTAAAAAGAAAAGCGTGGAAAGAACGTTTCTCGCTCCACGGAGACGCGTCTGGTACTAATGAAATTCGCGCGCGATCCGAAGTTGGTTGAATTCGTGGCAACGAGGAGCGACGTGAAGTTAGGAATTAAAAATGGAAAGAAAAAAAAAAGAAAAAGGAGAAAGAAAAGTACGGGCGCTCACGGGGGGGAAAAAAAAAAGAAAAACCGGCGTTATTATTATTATTATCGCAATTATCAAAGGATCGGTACTGGGCGACGGGTAACCCGTAGTCAACGTTAAATGTACTTACGCGCGTTGCACTCCACTGTGGTGCATGTAATAATAATTACGAAGCGATACATGATAACGAGGCGCCGGGGCGCTAACGACGCCGGGCGTCTCTCCTACCTCTCCCTCCCGCTCACTCTCGATTTAATAATGTTTCCTTTTCCCCCTACCACTGCCGTTTTTCACTCGTTCCGACTTTCTTTTTTTTTTCTTTTTTCGAAACAAATTTCTTCATTACTCATTCAATAAGCGAGAGCCTCGCTCACGGGTACGACGTATGCGTGATACGCTCTTGGATGAGCGTCCCGGCGCCTCTGTACATATTTTGTTTTTCCCCTTCTTCGCACGGCGGTTGGTGAAATCCACCTTTTTACTTGTAATAAAAAAAAAAAAAAATATGAGCTGCAGCTATACCTATATGCATCTGTATTTTTCAGTCAGAAGCTCCTCCCGCGACCCTCCGGCGAGACGCACCGACTACCCTCGTTCCTCTAATGCACAGTAGGTACCACTACTGTACCCGGGTGCCTCTAGCGCGTAACCCTTCAGCGTTTTCAAATCATTAAAATATCAAGTCGGCCTCCATCCGCCCCCTTTCGGCCCTCGCGGCAACTCAGCCAGCTCCTGGGCACAGAACGTGCCCCCTTGCGGTGTATTGAGCAACGATCCAGGCGCAAATTATCTTGTTTAATTAATACCGATCGTATAATTGGACCCGGTGCCGCCGTACAACGTCGACCCATTAATTCGCATTTCGTTTCGTCAACTTTTTATTTTTAATACATTTCTCCCCTCTCTCATTATCCGTCGATTTACCTTGAGTCGCGAGGGAAAATAATTTTTTTTTTACATAACGATTTTATCTTTTGTGAAAAAAAAAAAATATATCCTATCTACACGAACACCCGTTATACGTCGTTGAGCCCGTATAGAAAGCATTAGACGTGAATAACGATTAACAGTGATACGTTTTAAGGATTCACTCACATTGCACGTCGATCTTCGCTGGTGAGCTCTCGATGGAGTATCCGGTTTCCGGTTGGTCCGCGACGCAAACGAAGTTCCCGCTGTCCAGTATGCGATTGGCACGCGTGATCAGGAGATCGCCGTCGACCTGATGACGTCGTGGACTCGGTGCCAGGGGTTGCCCGTCGATCTTCCACGTGTAACTCACTGGCGAGTCGGATTGGGCCTCGCAGCGCAGACGAACCGCCGATCCCTCTGGCACCGTATGATCCCCGGGACTGACGGAAAAGTAGAGTTCGGTGTTCTGCCCAAGAACGGAGGTCACTGTAAAGAATAATGCCAACCGATTAAAACCATAGAAAGTAGTAAAACCTCGAGCAACCTTTCTCATGGTATCTGTTATCGGTATTAAAAAAAAAAAAAAAAAAACACGTTTGTCTCTAAAAGAAACCATTTTCAATCACTCCTCGGAAGACCTGCATAAGTCATCAAACGCACATACAGATTTCCCAAGAGTGACTTCGCGCAATTTACCGGTAGCTCTCTGAGTCGTTCCCGTGTGATCCCTTCAAGGGATTCCCGCCGTACTAATCCGACATGTCGGGTACAACGTACAGTCGCGCCAGGACACCCCACGTAGCCTGGAACGTCCCACCCGTGCGTCTGAGCAAAAGAATTTACGTACTGGAGGATCGAAGTATCCAATTAAACAATACCGCAGTAAACACCGGAACGGGGAATCCCCTTTTCCATGACTTTACGTAACGTCTGCAGAGTGATATTGAATACAGAGAAAGTCAAAGGAACTCACAAGACTGCAGGGTTAAAATCTAAAGATCACTCTGCCGCATCTGAATTGGTCTTTGCGATTATTCAGCGTCTTAACGTATATCTATATACATAGCGTCCACCATAAATCCTTCAGCTTGGACCCCATGGCCCTTTATCTGTGCTCTGGTTGTCCTATCTAGCCAAGTATATATCCCTATCATTCGATAACTTCGCTTTAACCGTTTCAAAGAACTTCCTACGTGTACGAAAGTAATTCTCACTTTGAATTATATATATATATATATAGCGATCTGGCTTGTCACTGACGTCTCCTAGACTGTCTTTCGCTCTTTCTATATATATATGTAACCATGCGTTCGAATGCGTCTTGTATGTTTAGCCGTGCAACGTAGAGCCTGATGGTAGGTATAGCTCTCGCGTGTAAACGGCGTAAAGCGTGTAAACGTCATAAAAGGGTGGCCGGTGCAGCTGTTGTCGGCGGCATGTTTGGAGAAAACACCAAGGAAAGCGGTCTCTAGAGTAGCTCGTAAAAGCCGTCGTGTTTACACCGCGGGAAGGTTTCACGACCGGCAGTCAGCGTGGCTGTCGGCCACGTGCATTATTTTTTTTCCTTCGTCTCTGTACTTCTGACGTTCCCCCCCTTGCCCCACTCCTTTTTTTATACCTCTTCTCCTTCCTTCGGATAAAGGCACAGATAGGCAAGTAACACCGAGCAAAGAGGTGCGCTCATTATTCATGCGCGACAAGACGACTTTTAGGCTCGCACCGACGCGTGCGAGTCGTCTTCTTCGCTCGGAGCTTCCGAAAGGAGGCGAATTACAAGGGACAAAAGACTGCGTCGTACGAGGGTACCTCGGCGGAAGGTAAGTTCATTATCCGCTTACGGTTGGTACGCCTGAACACTAATTGTGACTGGGACCACGTGACTTGGTCGAGTCTCGCGCCAAGTACGGGCCAGGCGACGTAAACAATGGCGGGACGATGATTATGGCGACAATGGGCGTAATCGGGGATGGTGGGAAGGTTTTCTTTTTTTTTACTTATTTCAAAAGTAGATCCTGAACTGAGGGCTGGTCAAGAAGGTGGGAATCACGATCTGGGTGAAATATCGAAAAATCGAAAAATCGAGCGACCGGAAGTGTCGAACGGGGAGCGTAGGAAAAAGTGTAACCGTGGGTCAGGAATAATGCGCCATGCTCACCGGCCCACCTTTTAACGGGATGTCCGGGCGTAATGCAACAGAGAAGACTGTGGTTGGAGCGACGGGCTCTAATTATAAAAATTACAAGCGGTAGCTAACGGCCAGGTCGACGGAGACGTCCGTGTAGCAGGGGGAGAAAAAAAAATCACGAGTCAAATTATGGTGAAAACGACGAGCTACGCGGACGTTTCCCGCTGAGCCCCACTTCGTACAGGAGCGTGGAATTTTACGCTTCCGGAATTTCCCATGGCTTTATCCTTTAGCTGAAAGAGACCACGACTATGCGAGAGCGCCGCCACTGGGAGATTAAAATTAAAACAAGCCCCCCCCCAGTTGGGTTATTAAACATTTTCAACGTGTTCGCGCGCTCTTTGCCTTCCTGTGTTCTTTTTTGCTTTTTTTTTTTTTTAGAATCCGGTTTCATCCTCGCTTTGCCATTAACGGTGTCTGTGTTTTCACATATTCTTTTTTTGTTACGGAATATTTTTACTATTTCACTCTTTCCCTCTCTCTCTCTCTCTCTCGCCCACGATTCTCGTACGGTCGACCATCGAAAACACTCGTGAAATTTCGAGGACCCGGGAGATTCGATCCGTCGAAGCGTAACGGTCCTGTTTGAAAACGAGGAAAAAAGAAGCTCGAGGAATTTTATCGGAACGTTTTCCGGAGGCTTTATCGTAGCCAGGCACAATAAAACCAGAGCAGAAGTGTTTCCTGCCGAAAGAGACGACCGGAAAGGTCCTATCTCGCGAGATAGACACTATCCTCCGGTGGTCCCGAGGGAATTTCAAAAAAGTAGCTCCCTTACGCTGTTCGTCAAAGAGCGAACGATCGTGAACACTGAGAGCCGTAACGTGGACGATAAAGAAATGTCAAAGAACGGAAAGGAAAAAGAAAAGAGAAAAAAACAAAAGACTAAATCTTAAAGCCGGAAGAGGCGAAAGATAAAGAGAACAAAATTTAGCCAATCGTCCCTGTTCTCAATAGGAGCAGAGTGGCTTTGGGGACTCTGAGAAAGGAGCACGTTGAGAAATACTCGTAGAAGGTAAACGTCGTGGTCGGGTGAGGGTGTAAAAGAGCTATATGGAGAGCTATATACGCGAAGAAAAAAAAACAGTGCTGAAGTTCTATTTTTTTTTCTTTTTTTAATACCTAAATACGCCTGCATTATGCGCACATTAAAGCTTTATTCGCCCGCTCTTTTCCCATTCGGGACAATTTTTCAACCAACGCCGGTTAACGGATCAAAAGTCTAATATGATTTTTGTGCGAGCTCCCTTTAAAACGTCGCGGTTTACATTTTCAGGAACACTCGGAACGAGGAGCCGTGACTCGATGTGAATGCACCGTGAGTGTGGTCGCGACGTGCACCGAGCGGTATAATAAAAAGTAGCTCGGCTCGTGGCATCTTCCATGTAGAACGAAGGCCTGGGCTTTTACTCGCGAGAACTGGCAGCGAAGGAAATGCCAAGGGAGGAAGAGAGTCAGCCATCCAGCGTGGTGAGAGAGGGAAGACAGAAAAAAAAAAGAATAGCCAAGAGGAGAACGAGCTCCCAGGGCGCGCCATTCACTCCCTCGCCTTCTACTCTTATCCTCAACCTCGTAGTTCTCAAGCCCTGTATATACTGTAATACACCCGCCTCTACCACATCTACTTCTACTTCTTGCACTCCCCAGACTATACCGCTCCTTATGCCCCATCGAACAGGCCCTCGGTAACGCGAGACGAGTAATTAGGACCACCGGACGAACAGCCATGAATGAGACAGTAGGGCTCATACGTGCAATCTGGGGCCGGAGGGCCCCTTCTTCTACCAACTGCTATACACAACTCGACTACCTATCTCGGGCTACCTAGACCTTACCTTCCTTCCTCTCGACGCTATATTACCTCGGGATCCCTTTTGTACGCGGCCCTGAGCTGCCATACAACCGGTTTACCAAGCACGGAATCTCCAGCGATTTTCAACGATATCCATTTCCATCTTTTACATTGCCCTTCTCTTTCCTTATTACCTACGTTTAACCCTTGGGGTTCATTCGTTTCATATTATCGTTTAAACCTTTACCAGTATGGAATCGTACATTTTTATGTATCTCGGTAATGTATGCTGCGTATGTGCAAATGCGGTATCGAATGAGTAAAGCCATTCGTTTGTGATCGCCGAGGGATATTGGTAAACACGGGGGAAGAGAGATTAATAATCAATAGCATATACGTAGTTATATAAGGATTTAACAATCTAACAAAGTTCAAGATGACAGCCCTGAGATTTATGATCGCATTTGATATCAATCGCAAACAGCACGGTTCTGAAAAGGAGACATACACTCCAAAAGTAGCCCGTGAGATAGTAATGGCATTTAAGTAAATCAAAATTGATGTCACTTGGTGGGAAATAGACCTGTCATTTATTAGTGGATAGAGTACAGTAGTTGAAATTTAAATAAATATAGTGGAAAGCAGTAAGAGACGATGTGATTTGGAAGGGAGCACCCACCACTCTCTTTCCAACCATGATTCATCCCCGGCAACGAACGAGACCGGCAGCCCCCTAGGCATCCCGGCACAGCACCAACTATTATTCGACTCTCAGAAATTAATGCTAAATTTCAATTAAAGACTCACCGGAAATCCATAATAGGAGCAACATCCTGTCGCGAGGAATCCAGCCTCTGCGAGAATCCTTTGGGACAATATGAAACACGAGAACGAATTCTCCTCACCGTCCTGTCATTTCTCTTAGAACACGAAGATGCTACTACACTCGGCGCAGGAGGAGGGACCGAACTGGGCAAAGCGACGCGTTACACTGCACCGAAGTTCCAAGCCACGCTCGTAGGAGCGAACTCTGGCGGCAGAAATATGCAACAGAAATGCTCAAGAACTTGTGGATGCATTTTTCATGTAGTCACTGGATTCAAGGTCGGTAATGCAGATCCGATTTTACACCCGGGAGGGATCAAATGTCACTAGACGGATAGAAGTTGAGTGACCTAAGGAAACCCCCTTGGTACTATTTATGATTTTCCTTTGTTTGCTGAGGGTTTTGTTTTTTGTTTTACACTGTCATTCAGTAACTTTACAATGAGCCATTCAATGTAGGGGACTTTTTGTTATGTCATGTTTAGTGATGGGACTGTTAAGAAACTTCGTAGATCGGAGAGTGAGAGAATTGGGGTATTCTTCTTTTTTTTTGTATGGAAAAAGCAAATGATGGAATATCAATACAATTCAAATTTGATATATTATTTCATACATTTTATGACATATGCACGTCGTTGTGTTGTTTCCATATCGTTATTATTATCCTCATTAATATTATTTATAATAACAAACTAAACAATCACGTACATCCCTATTTATATATTTATTTATTTATGTATATATATACCTTTTATTTTATTATAGACTTTTTTCATATCGTCTAAGTTAAATAATTCATCGCTCCGCAAAACTTCACGCACATCACTCTCATTAAAGTGACAACCGTATTGCGAGATGCAACTGACGAAGTTTTCAATGTTTCAGGTAGAATTTTCAAAGAAAAAAAACAAGGAATCATTTTTTTTCTTCAATTAAAATTCAGGAAAACCGTGCCGGTCACGATGCTCGATGACGAGCGAAAGAATTATCTAGTTCGTCTGTTATTTATATTATTTACACTAGCGTCGCCTATTGCATAATATATTTGGCCGTGTCTCGCACCTTCCACATACTGATTTTTGTTTTGATCCACAGAATCACGGTAATTAATTCTGTTCAAATTCCCTAGAAGGATACCGATATGTTCCCAGGGGAAAGTGCGACATATTCCCTATTTGAAAAATACTCGCTCTCCTCTTCTTTGGCCGATTTTGGCACTCAGTTATCATTTTTCCTTCCTATTGTCGATGATATGTACCTAGGCCATCCTCTTGTTTCTCAAGTTATTTTTGGCAAGATTTCACTTTCGATCGCCCCATCCGGCGCTGTTATAAAACCAAGATGAGGCACTCTCATCCCTCGTTTTACTCCACGTGTTATCCAAACCACTTCCACTGCCATCCTAAAAATAATTTTTTCATTATGCAGAATGTATTTTTCATGACGAATATATTTACATGATATATAGCACAGTTGACCTACCACGACGTTTAGTTGGTGTGTTGCCGGTGATAAGTAATCCATGTTTGTATAATAGGACGAATAATTTTGGTAGCATTGTTGCTGTGTCGTTGTTGTTGTCCAGGCTAGCCTCTGATGGTCACCGGGAAATCCACCGCCACCCTCCGTGACAGCAGGACTCCAAATACTGCTGCTGCTACCCCCGCTGCTATAGACGGTACCACCCAACTATACATAGAAACATTCTATAAGAGTCTGTAGAATCCTCAAGTGATCGATAAAAATTAAAAGCCATAAAATCCATAAACATAGAGAACATTTATACGAGCTTTGTCGGTAAATAGATTTACCGACAGAGTTGTCTCAAGAAGACAGACTCAAGAATAACAATGCTCTGTCGGTAAAATGACTTATGAATACCCTCAACGCATACTCAATAATTTCCTTGGATAAAATAGAATATCGAGGGATGGTAAAGAATAAAAATCCAGAAACTTACACTCGGTGGGGTCGTACTAGCTGCTAGAAGCAGACTGGTAGCAGTTCCAGCTGGTTTGTACTGGGGTGAATCCCTTAGCAAGGCTGGTGAACTTGCCGCGGAGCCACTGGTACCTCCACTCCTAAAACAAATATATTTTTTGAATATCGCCACTCAATATATCTCATTCAAGGAAGTATAATTTAATTTTTCTCCCTAAAACTCACAAAGGTGTCGTGGCGGGCACAGCAGCAGCGGGTGTGGGTGTCGTGGCTATCGAAGGACTTTTACCAGGAGGAGGATTGCTCGCAGGATTCCCCGAGGGTTTCTTCGAGCGCGGCGCCTTGTCTTGTTGCTGCTGCTGTTGCTTTTGTTGCTGACGGCACTTGGCGCGCCTGTTCTTAAACCATACCTGCAACAAAAATGTCCCACCTTGCAAATGGGGAAATCGAATAGGGAGATAATTTCATAAAGAGCCAGCGAAGAGTTGAGAACGCATCCCGGGCAAAAGGAGAGCCCCTGAGAAGCCCCGCGCGATCAATGTTACGCGGCAGGCGAAGCTTGGGTTTCTACGGATTTTCTGGGGAACGACACGGACTCACCCTTCGCCATTCCCTCCTCTTACTCTCCAGGTAACCCCTCACAACACCTACAACCTTCATCTTCTATCCTATATATACACACCTTAAACTCGCCATCTTGGCCACCAACGACTCCAATCTGAGCGAATGAAAGCTTTGCAGATTTTTAGCGACACTTCGAAAATATACTGTACTTTCAGATTCATCAACATCACTGCGATACCGGCGCCTGCTGACTGGCAAACCGTCACACGCCGCGTAAATTACACTAATTTTCTAATACCAAAATTATTATCGCGGTTCACGATTCTGCTTTATATATGAATACATTGTACGACTCTACAAAGACATCTGCTGATGTAAAAAGGAATACACTGTATTTACGACATAGTCGAATTTTTATGCGTGCGTACGTGCATTGCATAAGGATTGTGGAAATAGATGGCGCCACTGAGTCGGTCATGAGGCTTTGTGTTTTATTAAGGCGCTCTTTTCTATGGGGATTTAGTACAGTGGTCAGACGATAGATGGCGAGACTGTTTATGGGCTTGAAAACTTGTGCTTCTTTTACATCGGGTCTTGACAGATTCGGACAATAAAAATATATTCGAATAAATGTTGAATCACAATGTTGCGGAAATATTTGAGTGAATTTAGGATTATAAAAAAAATAAAGGATTTCCTGTACCGTATTTAATTTCGTGTTATTCTAATTATTATACTTACAACGTTTCTTAGATAAATCGTTTTAAAGATATTCTATTGTAACTCTATGACCTATCAGTTTTTGGGTTTGTCATTCTTTAGGTCAGTATGAGAATTTGTAGTCCCATTAGGTGCGACATAGCTCTGAGCCAGTTGGGCCGGAATTCGTGAGAGAAGTTAGTCCAGTCTTGGCAATAGAAGAACGTGCGGAAAACTATGGTTTTACGAACCCCATTCATAAAAGCAGCCAGGTGCGCGCCCTACTGATTTCCGATGGGACTCGCCCTTTTTTGGGCCCTGATCAGGGCCCAATATGCGTAAGCACGAATGGAGTTTCTCGCGGTATGAAAAGTCAAAGGAAGTGGTACGCAGTCATTCGCGTAGCAAAAAAAGAAATTTTGAAAAAATATTAAAAGAGAATCACCTCGAAGACCTTTCAGGCCCAAAATTCGAGTCTTTCCGAAATTACGTCTTCAAATTCCGTAGGTGTCAAATGTTTACAGCTATTCCCTTGCCGATTCCTTCACATCCCACTATGCCCCATTTAGGTATCGAGCGGCGTGTAAAGAATCGAGAACTCATGGGGTGTCCTAATTCGGTTAACCCTTCGACGGGGAATGCGGTAGTAAAACGATCTCTTTTTATGGTCTCCGCGTTCCGACGTCGTTTTACTTCCGCACGTCCTTACCGTCCCTTAGCAAACCCTACGGGAGTCCATCAAGTGCGATACAAAATTCGTCCCACGGTGCAAAGTAACATTTGCTCGAGTAAATCTACAATATTTGTAAATAAAAAGAATTAATTATATAAAATTGATAATAAAAACACACCTGAACCCTGGATTCCGGTAGATTGATCTTAAGGGCGACTTCTTCCCTCATGAAGATATCGGGATACCTAGTCTTAGAGAAGAGGCCTTCCAGCACGTCTAGCTGCGCCCTGGTAAAGGTCGTCCGCTCCCTTCGCTGCTTTCTCGGATTACCTTTGAAAAAAAAAGAAGAAAAAAAAAACCAAGGAATCAGAATCCGTGAATGGTTTCCACCGATAGAGCCCGCGTATGTAAGTCTTCCCGTAATCGACTCCACCTACGGACACTTCTAATTGCAACCGCAAAACATGACAAACTGAACTACCTAACCTAGGCTATACACCAGAGATTGAGATGAAGAACATACAAATTTATATATAACAATTAAAACAAATGAAGGCACTCACAGTAGTAGGACTCACCGGCAGGGGTGCAACCGGGATAACCAATGCTGGAATGGAGGGCCTCGATCGGTGGCATGCCTAGTGCACTGACGTAAGGATTGGTCTTCAGTGCCCCGTAAGGCCCAGCAGCGGTAGCACCGAACCCTGCAGGCCCAAAGAGTTCCGATGCTGATGTGGAGGAAGCCGCAGCAAGGCCCCCCAATTCGGTCGCCCCGGCGCCCCCGCTGCAACCGGACGTTCCACCCAGGCTGTTGGGCCACATCACCAACAGGGCCCAGAACTACGGGGACCCTGGGCGCAAAGACGCCGTCCCCGAAGACAAGGTCGACCGACGCCGACGCCGACGCCCCACGTCCAGCCTGAAACACAAAATTGCTTCCATCATCAAGACTCCTCTCACAGACCCAGCCTAGAGATGCTCCTTCGTTCAGACCCTGCCCAACTTCCTAATCATTGGTCCTCCCAGGGGCCCAATCAGCCCGAAAGAGGACACCATCAGAGGGTTCTCTCCCGATAGGACCCAAAACCGCCATACTGGAAACCCGATAGGTCAGCCATATTTTGAAGCAGCTGCCCGCGATAATCCTCAACCGTGCAACGTAACACCTCGCGAAGGTGGTCAGAGTCCAGCCCGATATCTCTAAAAGGGCCCAAAGGGCCCCAAACCATTTGGCTAGTTGGTCCGCCCTTAAGAGTTTTATCCTCTCCGGTTACTCACGTCGGCCCCGTCACACACGTGACAGCCACCATCGCCATCACCCACTCTTTTACACTCGTCATACGTACGAGGCATCCGCTATCCCGACCAACACATGTCACGGATTACCGCGAGCTTCTTATCGAACGTTAATTAGCATCCGCCGCTAATTAAACACCGCCATCAATGGTGACGTCACTCACAGACGTACCTGGCAAACAAGACAATCACTTGTTTTCACATTCCAATCGCGTGCTACGTACCGGATCAACAGAATTAATAAACACGGGAGATAATCGTCGACAGCCCCCATAATTTTCGACCAATAAATACCACCCCCCTCCGTCCCCGTTTCATTACCGGGCCCTAGGCGACGAATTCTCGAATGTTCTAGAAGGATGCACCACGAAGTATGTAATTCTCAATAGAAAGGAAACCTTACCGAAACTATCCCGTCTCGATGGGCCGACTCGAGACATCCCTTTCGCCACCCGTCAAAAAGGCATCTCGACTTTTTTCTTCTTTTTTTTTTTCCCTCCATTTTAATAAACTATTGTCCCGCAACTCTCGAGGGCGCGATATTAAAACTTCAAGCGGTCCCTGCGGCAACTCGACTTTACCCTCGTCTAGTTCCTACCCACCCGCGAGGATCTCGACTTCCGTCGCTCGTAAACGCGTTTCCTCCACAGCGCTCTGGTCACGCACAATGACTCCTTCGTAACGCGGGGGAGCGATTTGCACCCCCCCAGGGTCCCCCGTATTACACTTGTTACAGGAACAGGGCAGACTGCCCACTCGAGAGCCTCTCGTCACTCCTACGCGCTCTTGCGCACAGGAGAGCTTCCAGCGTCCTTCTCCGAGGGATGCAAAAACCTGTGTGTTACTACCCCTTGGTTAATACTTTTGAAAATCGTACTGTACATACTCAAAAGTCCACCCCCGAAGCATTGCAAACACTTTGTGTTACCAATGGAGCCGAGATACACAACCCCCCTTTTCATATACCCTTAGGTACCACACAATAACCCAAGAGTGTAACCACTCCCTTGAAAACCAAGTGTATACCCACCTACGTACACTCGGTGGTTCCTCCAATGAGAACAAAACTTCATGACTGTTAAATCCCTATTATTACGTTCGCTCCCCCGTACTAAAATTCGATTACTCCGAATCATTCACGCTCCGCGGAATAAATCGAGTCTTTGTTTTACCCTCCGAGACTCCGGACCCTGATTTTCATAATTTCGATTTTTCACCGAGCGATACACAAAATCCACGTAGCTGCTCGATATACGTGTACACGGCGACTGGGTACGACTAATCGAATTCTCATAGCGGATTCACCGGGTCCAAAAAACTAAAGGACGCGACCAACCAGCCATTTGTCAGCGTGTATAAGGAAGTTAAGTTGCTCGTATTGTTTCCCAGAGTGTTTGCACGCGGTTGCATTGTTCCCCGAAGAGGCTGCCGCGACAATGGACCACCGTAGAGGTTGGTACGACTGGCTGCGAAAGGGCCCATCGAGAGAGAGAAAAAAAAAGTTCGCTCCATTGATTCGGCTCCAGCGCCAAAAGTACGAGCGTGGATTTTGAGGAGGGTGGTGGGGGGGGGGGGGAATTTTGAAAATGGAAGAGGAACGAAGAGAAATCGAAAAAAGAATGAACGGTACTGAGGTGGTGGTGGGCGAGGGTGGCTCGAGGGATGATTCGACAGCAATGGACCATTTTTTTTAGAGAGACTCGTCGAGCGGAAAATTTAATTCCCGTGGAAACGGCAACGTTACTACCCCACATTTCTATCTGGTTCTTTTTTTTTTCACCCACGCAACTGCCAGAATGCACCCACGCTTTTTCATCTGTAGCAAAGGATTTAGGATTTCGCAGTACGCCCTCGAGCCAATTTCCGAAGGTCCCTTATTTTTCATCTCTCGATCGTTCCTTTATTCCTTCTTCTTCTTCTTCTTCTTCTCGGTCTTCGTTTCGCCGAAGAGCCTCTTCTTTTTCTTTCTCCCTCTCTCTCTCTCTCTCCGTTACCAAAAATTTGGGTGGCCATGTCACTCGGACCACGACGATTCCTCGAGATCCCTTGGACTTAGGCTTAAGGTGCATTCACACGTGATAAGATCGTTCTTCCCGTCGGACCACCGAAAAGAAAATGTCTCGTGAGAATACATTGACGTTCCTCACAATTTTTTTCTTTTTTCTTTTCCTTTCTATCACCTTCTCAAAATACGAATACTCGACCGAACGGAAAATTAGGTGGGCGACCCTTGAGTAAACACCATAATTTTTTCGGTTTCACTGATCGGTCACCATTTTTGTCGTTAGACTATCCTTGCGTCAAGGATACGTTTTTTTTTTACAAAAAAATTTCTTGAATATTCAAAATTTTAACACCAGGTCCTTTGGACGCTTCGTTATTATCTCGTATCACACGTGACTGTCACTTCGATCACTGATATACTCTGGTTCATCGATGTCATCAGGATCGACTTCATCCTTGTGTTTTGGATAAGCAACTACAACGTTATCGAGGAGGCTATGCGTTTGATTCTATTTGAAAAAAAAAAAAAAAAAAAAAAAACGATTGGAATACGTTTGTAAGTTTTCCATACGACAGAATCCTGGATCGCGGAAAGGACACGCGACAGACTAGGACCCAAGCCCCGCGGAGGATCCTCACCACGTGAGAACGTCGACGAAGGTCCTACCCCGAGGAAGGCGGACCCCGTCGACGAGGACGATGACGACGGGAGGGAGGCGAGCCAAGAAGATTACCGTAAGCAGATTATTCCCGTGGAAACCTGGCTGCCCAACTTTTGCTTCGATAGTTGGATCGTAGACTCTCCTCTTCGCTCTAATTATACTATAATATATCTTTCCTTCTCTCTCCTTGGCCACTCTCTATTAGCTACTAGCGGATACGAAGTACGAAAAAGTATGTAAAATAAAAAAAATCATTCTAGAACACTTGCGATGGTATGCGTGCCACGTATATGTTTTTTACTATTTTTATCTTATTATAAAAAAAAAAAGTTATATATATAAAACTCGTCGATCGTTATCTATTTTTGTAGAATTTGCAGAACCTCACTTTTCAAGCTTCACCGCAGCTTTTGATTTTTCACATAACCACAGTGTTAAGCTCAGCTTTCACCACCTCGATCGTTAATCATTCTCTCTTTCCTACTCGCGCCAATGGGAGGATTTTTAGTCGACCCTCGTTTCAAAATCATTTTATCAGAACAACGATGGGTGCAAATGACTAGCTGATTCTACCACCAGTGTTTCCTCTGATATCGTTAACGTTAAGTACAGTCATAACGTTTCACCAGATTGTAAATATTCATTGAAATATTTGGCATTCGCGAATATTTTCGTGATTTAATGAAATTCGAGTGGCGATACGCAAAGGTACGAGAAATTGAATAAACAAAAAAAGAGAACTCTTACGAAAATTACACCAACAAGAAACGACACTGACGCGCGACTGATAGGTTCACAAAAATCAAAGAAAAAAACAAGAGCACCGCGTACAGTGACAGTGAAAAATCACCAACGACCAGAAATGCATGTTCAAATGAAAATCACAAATGGATATCCTGGAGTAGGTCACACACTTCACGAAAAGCACAGTTAAAAAGTACACTAGACACGTTTCAAAGGACTCACCGTATGAACAGGGTTCTGATATACCCGTAGAAGATCCTGACGTTTAATCCCCGGTCGATCGGTGACTGTCCCCGTGAACAAGGGTGGCGTCGTCCAGGAGTCAACGAGATTCCGTGACACAGGAAGACGAGATTGGATATAGCCGTGAGCTCGTACCCGAGATCTCTCGTGGTGGCCGACGCCGACGTCGACGTCGAGGTCGACGTGGACGAGGACGAGGACGACGTCGACGGACACAGACAGACGGACGCGTAAAACGGGCCGCTATTATTCCTCGGGAGGGTGTAGGAGAGAGCAGCTCAACTTTTCACGAGAACTTTAGTTGTTACGGATCGCTCTCTCTTGGCCGGGGTTGCCCCCTGCGGGGGGTGACGTTCACTAGGGTGGGGACACGATCGTACCGACGGCGTCGTCTCCTCGGGAGTAGGGCGTCGCCGACTACGACGCTAGTCCGTAGTGGGGATCCAATGGAATGTTCTATTGGACCATGGCCACCAGGTACACTCCAGTCGCTAGACTACTGCGCATCCCTACCGACGCGTCCACTTAAAGCCGAATCCACAGCCACCCTACCATACCAACCGTTATGCTAACCACAAAACTATACAAACTGAAACTACCGCCGATAGACACCAAAGTCGCAATAATTATTCTACTCCACTCTATTCCACATTTCTTTCTCGTAGACTTATTTTTACGTTACCACAACATTATGCGTTTAAATTTCAAATTCACTTGTTTCGCTTGTCCTGCGATATTTCAATCTCGATCGCGACGTTTCACATGCTGAATCGTACGACTGCAGGCTTTCTCGCCGTCGCTTCGGATCTTCGCGCTCGGGAAAACGTGCGTGCACTCGACAGCAGACAAGATGGCGTATTGACGGGATTGAATTTGTAAAGAGTATACCCGGTGACGGGTAATTGACTTGGATTTTGTAACGGGCGCACTAACTGCTACGCCAGGTGATAGACTCTATACGAACATGGCAATTTAACTTGCTCACGTGCGAGCGGTTAATGCTCTTACGGGATTTCGAAAAGATCAGCCAGCATTACTATGCTATTAGTGTAGCTAAAACCGGCTTGCTTCCATAAAGCTATTGCTACGTGACGACCTAGTGCCACTTTATTCCTCCCCGCGGCTCATTCATAAACTCTTACGAGTTGAGTATCTGATCAATCGTATACCCATCCATATATCGAGTCATTGACACCTCCAATGACCAAATCGAAACTGCACACATATTTTTAATGACATCATAGCCTAGCGCAGCATTAACAGGTATGTAATTTTATTGGCGATACTACGTTATTATACGCATTGGTTCCCTGCACTTGATGATCGATCAGCTGTTATTGATACGTTATTCAGTTTATTTATTCTTATCGTTCATTAAACTTTGCTACTGCGACTATTTAAGGCAAGAATGGTTAACCTTCTAGACTCACGGCTGTCAATCTAACAACGGTTACAGTCGCTTCCACGTACAAGTTAATTTTTACTACTGGAAGTCAGTCTAATAATTCACGCGCTGTATAATAACCTAGCATACAGAAATATTACTTCGTGACTTATGTAAATAGATCTACTTACTTGTTACGAGAATAGCCGTTCATCGTGTAATCACAATTGCACACTGTATTGTATTAGAAGCCACTGCTGGAACTCTGACGTGTTACGAAGTTAAGGTTATGTGTCAAAACAATATCGCGATCGAAAAACCTTTGGAGTGAAGTTAGCGACTAGCCGGTCGGAGACTACATGGAAGACTATTCTGAGGTTAGATTAATAATCGATAAGAGCCAATAGAGTGTTTCATAAAATCTTAAGTACAGGTATCTTTATTCGCACTAAGGATAAACTTTGTACGATTCCCTCGGTGCTGCTTCTTCTCTCGAATCTCACTTACTCCGTATAGAATGTAGTTCACGCTCATCCCCGAAGATCAGCCCAGCTGATCCGTTCGACAAACCGTTCGAACAAAAAGCTCTAGCAAAAAAGACAAGCTAGTGCAAATAACCTTTGCCCTCAGGTCCCTTCCTCACTCTCTCTCTCTCTCTCACACTGTTCTTCCTATACTCTCACACAGTTTCCCTATTTTCCCTACCTCTCGCTCTACTTCATAACCCTCTCCTCGTTTCATCCTATCTCATCTCATCCTACTTCTATCTCTCTTTCTCTCCTTCGTCTCTCATCTCTGCGAAGCTCATTGACGAGAACTGAATCCGAAACTGAGGCAAGCCGCTTATGAGGCTTTTGCCGTAAATCACTGGTGAAAGTCACCAAGTCACTGAGTCAATGAAATCGCCCAGTCGGCCGACTATGACAGGAACCTACCACTTGATCCTTAATTGTGTCTTTCTTCTAAGCAGCCGCTCGTTAGCACAATTTTTTTTTTCCTTAAATTTATATCAAATCCAGTATCACCTACAATATATTCTTGTATTACTTTCAGAATTGAACAAGAGAAATTTTTTATTTTACATACAAGGGTTGGTATGTTGTATTCGGTAGTACGTGTTGTTACTGATGAGCTTCCTTAAAGTGACGAAATCTCTATCGCCGTTTGAATTGGCTTCCTCCACCGAAATTTCTCTCGGGCACTGACGGTTTCAGCGGAATTGGACAGAATTTAGGCACGCGAGTGTACATAACGAAGAAAGGAAACGTTTTGCTTTGGAGAGGGTCGGACTTAGTTGGCCACGCCTCGTATCGTTCCCTCTCGCCCGTCACCGCTCGCCACTCACAGTCACTCTCTCTCTCTCTCTCTCTTCCTCGGTGGGACAGTGAATCGGAGAAAGTGAGACGGAGTGAGGGCAAGAGAGAACGAGACCAAACGAATACGCAAGTTACTCCGAAAAGGAGGAAGAAGCGTAACTACGTCAAATCGTGAGGCAACCTACATTACTACGCTTATAACGATTCCTACGGTTACTACAGTAGCTATGCCGGATCCCTAAGAAACGAATAAAAAAATAAACGAAAATCGTTAACAATTATAAAAAATTTTTTTATTTACTGAATTACATTTTTTTAGCGTATACTTATGTTCTTCTCTTATTTCATCACGTACAAATCTTACTCCAGCTTCACCGCTATGTCCCTCTTAGCTCTTGCACGTCGAAGCAATTTCAATTACGCCCCGATAGTTTTTCCGTTGTTTTTTCCAATTCAACATTTCCAATTATCGCTCTGCCCTTGAACCCACTGCCTTTTCCCCAATTCCAATTACTCGGGATTATCGTTTGCGTTTTGTATACCTATACCAGTATGCTATGTTCTAGCTAACAACCTACCGACTTGGTACCCGCTACTACTACGTATCCACCATGCTTCGAATGTCTCTTGAGAACGTTTTCAAGCTACAAAACCACCTGATATTGCTATTTAATGAACCGAGGGAACCCCATGGAACAGGAATCGCTTCAATGTATATAAACGAGGTAATCCATGACAAACAAGGATATCGATAATGATTGATCACGGTGTAACGTTTCTTAGATTTCTTGTCCCAGTGGCCTTTGACACATTTTTGCTGGTCATCTCCGAGTGGGCATCTTCAGTCACAACATTTGCTCTACAGGTGTTTCTCGAAACAAACCCAAAGGCCAATACGATGTGAAGCAAATCCATACAGGGACGGAGTACAGGTCCCATGGGACTCCTGTGGTTCTTCAGGAAGAAAAGAAAAAAGGTACATATAGTAAGCCGCAACACTTCACTTTCCATACGTGTCCTCAAATCGACCAAACATCTTCCTACAGGTCCATGGACTTCATCCAGCTACGTGCCTACGCTGGGCCGTGCCTACTATACATACTCCTAGATGCTACCGGTCGCAAGGAGACGCAACCGGCTCCTCCTCATTCTGAGAGTTCAGATTGGGATCGTCAGGCCGGTTCTCGATATACACACGTCATTTGATTTGTCCCCAGACAATGCAACTCGAGCTCTGGTTGGGCCCCCAGCCGTGGTCCCAATCCCCGGACCCATTCACGTAATTCTGCCGCGTAATACTCGCGGGACTCAAGAGATATCGATCGTAGGCACAATACGAAATTGATTCCGAACAGTCACCTCGCCCGTTTTCTCTCGCCTCTCTCGCTCTTTCTTTTCCTTTTTCTTCGTCCCTCTCCTCTTCGCCGTATCCGCGTCAAACCCGCTACAGGTCCTGCAGGCTTTTCCCCCTGTACCACTGAAAGAACGAAAAACGTTGAGGTGAGCAAAAAATATATATTTTATATATTACTGTAATTATTTGTTTATATAAAAAAAAAAAAAAAAAAAAAAAAAAAAAAACCTTCCTCTTCGCCGTATCCGCGTCAAACCCGCTACAGGTCCTGCAGGCTTTTCCCCCTGTACCACTGAAAGAACGAAAAACGTTGAGGTGAGCAAAAAATATATATTTTATATATTACTGTAATTATTTGTTTATATAAAAAAAAAAAAAAAAAAAAAAAAACGAAACAACTATATAAATACTTATCTATGTGTATCCTTGATCCAGGATCATGGAGTTCCCTCCGAGAGACGTCCCCATAAATCGTGTAAGACTGGTAGCTGGATCCACGCCAAGCGTAGGTGTATATCCAAAGCAAAGGGGACCGTGGACGTTCCCACATTTATTATCCAGCAGCGAAAGCGGTCCAGGACTAACGAGCTTTTGATCGCGGCACTGCCCGCTCCCTAGTATTCAGAGACTTACCTGAAGTCTCCACCCCAGGACCGTTCCCGTTGTCCTTCCAGACGTCGTTCCGCCGGACGTGAGAGATTTCCGTCCAGGATCCACGCTCTGTCTATTTTCAAGGATCCACCCCGGTAGTCCTGACGAGCAGTGTGCACACGTCATAGGCACCCATTGATACCTGTGATCCTGTAAAGTAACGTCGCAGGTGAAAATGACAATTACGTAACCTCACTTTCGAACTATTGCCGCATTCAGAGATTTTCAAGGATTTCAAAGATTAACTTGGACCATATCGACTACAGTCACCTACAAAGGATCTTCCGTTTGTATAAGCTGCCCTTTTTTTATTCCAGGCAGCCACAATTAATTTTGCCTGCTCCCGCAACTGCTTGCAGAACCTTCTACCCTGGATACGTGAGCAGCCAGTGAAGCTTCTCGAATGTCGGTCGAGGAAGAAAGATAAAAAAATAATAAAGCGAGGGATGCTCGTGGGGCACGACAGGGTGATTTCCCATGGGATCCCGTGGACTATTAGCGATCGCAAATAGCCTATTACGGGCCCATTAATGCCGGGTGGCCGAAACACGAATCTTTGTACTTGCGTATACGGTTTCTTGCAGCTTCTCCGGTCCAGCATCCATCGCCACCAGGCTCTGCTCCTCTCAGCGTTATCGTCCACCTACTTCGCCAGTGTAGGGTTTCCGAACACCCTTGGGACTGGTAATCCGAGATTCACTTTGTGCCAAGGTCCTCGAGCGCTCGCGCCACTTTCCATTCCCCACCTCGTTCACTTCCTACGTATCTTTAATGAATTATTCAGACGCAGCGTGCGTCGCGACAATTGCACGCAAAGTACGCGACAGAGTAGAATTTAAATGTACAGAGTCGAATTTAAATGTAATGGCAAATGATAAGACGAAAAGTACTTGGAACGATACAAAAGATACGTATTAGCGTGTAAAATGCATTGAGTCGATTTAAGGGAGGTACGGAGCCTTTTGAATTTTTCGTGATACCGCACGCGAGTGCGAGAGAGACGGAGCGATGGGGATTAACGCGAGTAAGAGAAAGACAGATAATAGAGAAACTTCAATTTCGAATACATGGAGAACCTATTTCTTCGCTGACAAAACTAGTCAAGTTACTTGATACCCCGAGTGCCCGAATACTATTTTCAAAGAACAGCCAAAATGTTTGGGTATATTTTTTTCTTCAATTCTATTGGATACACCCGTACATTGTTAAACGAATTAGCACTCGTTCTCTTTTGATTCAGTGAATTAACTGAATCGCCCTCGAAAGGGCTTCAGAATAATTCGCCACAGAGAAACGTAAAGCGAACGTACGAATGGGAATGCGATAGTGGATTCGGTGTCTGTCAGATTCTCTCTCTCTCTCTCTCTCTCTCTCTCTCTCTCTCTTTGTCTCAAGCATAAAAGAGGCAGTACAAGAGAGAGGGAACTGGTAATAATCGTAAGCTTGGTAATCAAAGGGAGAGCTTCGGGAGATAAAAAGAGAAGGAGACAAGCACGTGGCGCATTGCTCGTTGTCGTTGCTCGTTGCTGATTTTGGGGTCGAGCGGTGCCCCAGTTAGTCAACACGCGCCTCCGTTCCAGTTAAGCTGATCTCTGTCGATGGCTCAGGATTTAATCGGGTGCTTACGAGCAGCACGAGCTATACAGTGGAGCCAAGCCATCTAGACAGAAATTTTATTTGCATTAGGCCTGCGTACATTTTTTCAAGCTCTTTGACTCTGCGCCCAGCAGCCATGAAAAAGGGACTTACAGTGCTGAAAAAGGAAGCGTTTCCTATTAGACATTTAATATACTTGATCAACTATAAAAATTGGCTATAATTGAAAGTTAGCAATTCCTAATTGTATATATATATATATATATATATATATATATATATATATATGATTCGAGCCTTATCAGCGTTTGAGAATCAATCAAGCCTATCCGTATCTTATCACAGAGAATCGCTAGAGCAAACTGTGGGGGGGGGGGGGGAGGCAT